CCCCCCCCCGACGCAGCCCACTCCCACTGCCCTGCCCGGGTCTGCTCTCTAACCACCACCCCCCGCCCCAACCCGGGCTGATCTCCACTCTCAGCACCTTTTCCCCTGCACCACCTGGCTGATCTCCAACACCCCCTCCAGCCCTCCTCCACCCCCTTACTGACATGGTGTTGTTCTCCATTCCACCACCCCCCCAACACACACACAACCAGAACTGATCTCCATTATATCCCCTGCCCCCCCCCCCATACGTATGCATCAACCAGGGCTGATTTCCATCACACTCCTTTCCCCCTCCTCGCAACATTCCTCACCCCAACCGGGCTGATCCCCATTTCTCCCCCCATCTTCCTGTACCAATCCAGGCTGAACTCCAGCTAGAACCTAGATTCCAGTACCCTCTTCCTACACCAGGGTATGTGACTGAACTCTCAGCATCCCTGCCTCCTTCCATGTACTGGAACTGAGATGCATTCATCCTCTGTCCTCCCTACTCTATACAGACCTGAGCTGAACCCCAGCCAGAATATTTCTCTCTCTCTGTGTCTCACACACACACACACACCTGCTCTGAGGCTGGCTCTGTCCTTGCACAGGGCTAAGCTCAGTCGGTGATGGGATCCCATACCCCAGCTCCGGGTGGAATCAGGGGAGGTTACTGCTCTCCTGCAGGGCCAAAGCCTCCACTCCCAGTGCTCAAAGACAGCTCCTGTGGCACACAGGAGTTTTTTGGAGAGGAAGGAGTATGCCTGCCCGATGGAGGTGAATCGTAGGGTAGTTCTGAAAGATACACACTCAGGATCCCTAAATAGTGTGTCTTGCTGGCCACTGATGCTGGTAAGTGCCAGAGCCCACTGGTGTATATGGAAGCTGGGTGTATCAAATGCTTGGGCTGAGGGCAGCTCAACTGACAATGCCTGACTCTATATTTCTCTCCCAAAGAGAATCCCCTTCCACAGCTGGACCAGTGCTTATCCCTGATGAGAGCCCCGTGCTCCCAGAGTGCCCTGCTGCTCTCCCTGAAACCCTGCAAATGATCCACCCTATGACAACTGACTCCTGGAAAACCCTCATTGAACAAATAGGTAAGGGCCATGTTTGTTGTGCCATAAACTTATGGGCTGCCTAAGGCATGGTGCTGTCTGACAGAAATACTGCCCCTATTAACCCAGGTAATGTTCCTAGATTTCTAGAGTGCGAAGTCTTTGCTCATGCATTTCTGATGAGTGAAGACGCTGAATATAAATAAGAGAAAATAGTTCAAACATTTACATAAAACCCGTTAGAACTAAATTTGGCCTGAAATTTGTAAGAAGTGGTTCAAGTAGGTTCTTTTCTAGCCTTTTAATCTTGGGGCAGTATTTATATTAGTTAAAGATACCATCCATTTAAGATTCTTCTGGATGTTAGCTCCTTATTGTTCAGGTTGCCTGAACCTTGAAAGCAGCAATAATTGGAGAGCAAAAATGAATCTCCCTAATAGCAGTCATGTGCCACCCTCCGCTGCCCTCAAGGTGTGAGGGCACAAGAAGTGGAAAAAGCTCCCCACAGGAGAGAGCTTCTCATCAGCCATCAATCGAGATCTTCACTGGATCCCAACATGGTTTATTATTATCAATCATTTATGATAGAGTAGCACCAAGAGGCCTTATCAGGACTCTGCTGTGCTAGGTGCTGTGCAGGGAGAGCAAGAAACAGTCCCTGCCCCAAAGAGCTTACATTTAAATAGACTAGACAGATAAATAGACAAACATAAAAACAAAAAAATGAAAAAACAAGACATCTTTGCTATCTTTTTAAAAACTAAATTGGGGTATTCCCCCCACTTCCATTTTCCAGATGCTCCAGCCATTGCTGATCTAGTGTGCTTTTCTTCCACCCTGGCTACTCCACAGAGGTAGATAAGGAAAAGACCAAATAAAAACAATCAAAAAGTGCCTACAAGCTAAAGATATCTAAAGGCAAACCCTTTCAGTTCATGCAATCCAGTCGCTCGTCTCTACAGGAAGCAGTGGGAGATTCCTGTCTCCTCCAGGGCTTCCAGGGGATGGGAGCATGGACCAGGATTGCAACACAGCCACTTTTACACTAAATCTAAATAAATACTGTTCTTTCAAAAAAAATCTCAAAATACAAACTCAACATAAAACCCTTTTGAAAAAAGCAACACGTTATGTATATACACATTCAACCTCAAACGCAAATCCACATATTTACTTAACTTTATTATAAATACACTTTCCTATTAAGCATATTATTTGGATTACAGTAGCACCCAGAGGCACCAATTCGAATCATCACCAAATTGAGCTGGGGCTGAACAAACATACTATAAGAGAGACAGTCCCTGCCTGAAAGAGATTATAAACTAAAGATCTGATCCTGTAATCTGATTCATGTGGATGGAATACTGCACCTGTGTGGAACCCCAGTGGCTTTGTCAGGCAGTGTGTGTCCACTCACATAAATCAGTTTTCAGGATTGAGGCCTAACTAGGGAGAAAATGCAACACAAATAGGAGTGTGGACAGAAGGAGGAAGGCAAGTATGAGAATAAGAGGAACACAAAATTGCATATATTGGGGTGGCCAAGAGCCATATGCAGCTCTTTTACAGTTAAAGTGCGGCTCACGGAGCCCCCCACACCCTCCCATTCTCTGCCTACCAGACGGGGGCAAAGTTTGGGGCTTCTGCCCTGCGGCGGGATGGTGGGGCTAGGGGCTTCTGCCAGTGACGACTGGTACCTGATGAGGTTTGCCCCCCTCTAACAGCTTGAGTCTTGCCCCCCCCCCTGCTCCTCCCTTACCCTGAACGGTCCTCCCTGCAGATCCCAACTGTTTGCCGCTGCCTCTCCCCATGACTGCAGCGCCCAGCTTGCCAGCTCCAGCAGCTGCCGTGCAGGGAGGATGGCCCAGTGGCACCAAGTGACTGAGCAGGGCCATCAAATCCTGGCAAAAATCTGGGGGATGGTATGTGATTCCATGGGCCCTCCCAGGTGTCACCTCTGGCTTCTGCCCAGCAGGGAGTGGTTCTCCCGGCTTCAACCCTGCAGCGTGTGCCTGCTGGGGCTTGGGGCTTCAGCAGGAGCAGGGCTGAAGCCCCAAGCCCAGACAGGCGCCTCCTGTGGGGTTGAAGCTTTGAGACCCCCTCCCCACAGGGCTGAACCCCGAGCCCAGACAGACACCTCCTGCGGAGCTGAAGCCCTGAGACCCCCACTCCCCGCAGAGCTGAACCACGAGTCTAGACAGGCATCTCCTCCAAAGCTGAAGCCCCAAGATCCCCCTCCCCACAGAGCAGAAGCCTCTAGCCCCACCACTGCACCGCAGGGTTGAAGCCCCGAGCCCCAGCAGGTGCGCCCCAGCTCTTGAACTTCTGAAGATTGTTGTATGCGGCTCAGAGGATCAGAAAGGTTGGCCACCCTTGGGCATATATTCTTAGCTGAATGTATAATTTGGAGACTTCAATGGCTTTTATATTTGTTTGATATTTAAAATAAGTGGACACTATATTCTTGAATCGCTATCGGGCCACTTGCCCAGCATATACAACTTAACTCTCCAAAAAACCCACCAAATAAATACATTATTAAAGCATTAGATTGTCTATTGTTAAGTGAGAAACATCAGTGAATATATTTATCGGATTCTCTTTATAAGGTAATAGTTCCTGAAATGTAGATAACAAAAATATGTAAAATATAACCCCAAAATCCATAGGTCAGAGTTAAGGTTGTGTTATGATAAAATGCACATCTTTGTACTTGATGAGAATAACATATGTGGTCAGTATAAAATATATGATGTACTTAGCTGTTGATCTCCTTGTCTTTAGGTGGTTGAGCTTTTTAAATTATATGGTAGGTAATTTAACTGTGGTCACTTAGCAACCCTAACTGGTTTCATAAATGATTTTTTTGTCTTTAATTATGGAGCAGCTGATAGCTGCTCTACAGTTAAGGCTGTATAGCTAAGTTTCTATGTAAAGCTTAATTTAACATCCTCTCTAAAATTCACACACACACACACACACAATTAATTGCTGGGCCAACGGAAATATACAGACCACACTGAAAGACTTGTGGGGTTATACAAATCAGAGTCTTATTGTATAGTTGTGTTAGACACATATCTGTACTGGCAATGTATGTTATGAAGGGATAAGGTACACTGACATTCTGAGTTTCTTGTGGTCTCCATCTGAGGCAGATTTAAGATTGTTGGGGTTTCTTATGTGGAAAGGGTTACCTTAACTGGTTCTCTCAAGGTTATGGGGTTTTGTTTTTTTTAAGCATAAAATGTTCTTTTAAGGAATACGTTGGGGTTTGGTGGGGGGGAGGAGTGTAACTGAACATTTCCTGATTTTCCCATGTTTGGGTTTTGGAGTTCCATGTTCTGGAGGCATGAAAGGATAAGGTGGCTCTGCTGTACAGCAGCAGCCTTTGCTCCACTTTAACAAAGCTTTGTTATGTGGCAATCCAGTATAAAGTCCAAATAGTGACTCGGAAAGCCATGTTGTTGAACAGTCCAGGCTTTGATATCTTGGCAGCCTGGAAGAGATGCTCCAGGACATCAGAGTTCCAGAGGGGAGAGAAGGCTGAAGCCTGTAATGGGCCATCATGGGAAATCTGCTAGAGATTCTGATAAGCTATCAGGCAAAACCCTACAGTTGGTAGTGAGGAGGCTACTTGAACCACCGAGGCCATTTACCAGGAGCAGGAGAAGTCTGCAGTTAGGTATAGGGTTATTGATGAGGAGAGGCTGAGCCTTGGAGGATGCTATGGGAAGCTTGAACCAAGGAAGAAACAGAAGGCATTGAGAAAGCTTGAGTAAGCTAGATGCCAGAAGAAGTCCGACAATATTTGTCAGACAAAACAGCTGAATTTTGGGCATAGTTCAGGGATGTAGTGAACAGTTTTAAATTTGCATACGCGCTGCCTGATCTGTTGTCTCCTTCCTGCTGCATTTCTACTAATCTCCCAAGGCAGATGTGCCATTATAGTCTTAATTTAGTGACAATGTGTTAATGAAACGCTTGATAAAGATGTAAAAACAGCCCTAGACACCAAAACAACCTCATTGCCAAATATCAAGCTAGGTACTTATATGGCCCTCATTACCTTAGTGTCTGAGCATCTCAAATCATAATGGATTTTATTTTCACAACACCCCTGTAAGGTGGAGTATTTCATTTTTACAGATGGGGAACTGAGGCACAGTGTAGATTAAATGACTTGTGCAAGGTGCTACAGGGAGTCTGTGGCTGAGCCAAGAACCCAGTGGGACTTTCCAAGTTCCAGTCCACAGCCTTAGGCACTGGACCATCCTTCCTACCCTGCTACAAGAAATGCTGCTCTCAGGAAGCTAAAAATCTGCAAACTGATGTGTGTAAGACATACTTGCCTACACCCCTGTTGTACTCTTTAGGAGAAAGATTGCCATCAGTCACAGACTGCACAAGGGTCAGCTGCAGTAGGTTAATTATTCCTATATCTCCATTAGTGGGATTTTTCTTTTATAGGCATAGAAGAGGACGAGGTCCTTGCCCATGGGAGTTTACAGTCTAAATTAGATAACATAAGTTAAACTAACAAAACATTGTGGTAAAGGGGGAAAATGAAACTGTAACCAGTGGAGAGACATATTATGAGCTGAATCTCTGAGAACAATCCTCTGTTGTAGAGCCTTGCAACCTAACCCAACAGGAACTGACTACGAGTGTTGGGTTCAGGTTGAGTCTGAAAACAACCCAACCATTTTCGGTCTTGAGTTGTGTTGTCTCTTATCCCTCTTCCTGCCTCACTGTGCTCTGTATGTGCTGTGAGTGAATGTGCCAAGGAGTCGCAGTACCTGTCATGTTGTTCTGTACCAGATATGGACTGGTCATAGAGCTTGCTTATACGCACCAGCTGTGTTCATCATCAGGGTGATGTTCTACATCAGGGGTGGGCAAACTTTTTGGCCCGAGGCCACATCTGGGTGGGGAAATTGCATGCAGGGCCATGAATGTAGGGCTGGGGCAGGGAGTTGGGGTGTGGGAGGTGGTACGGTGTGCAGGAAGGGGCTCAGGGCAAGGGGTTGGGGTGGAGG